GAATGGGCAAAGGGGAACAGTGAGAAGGTCTGTGAAGTGCAGGCAAACGTGCATCCGAGAACAGCAGGGAAGAAAATACAAACGCTTGAACAAGAGCAGAGGGTGTTTATGCAGCTCTGAGCGGGCTGTAAATGCTGGCAACGTGAAGAATTAGGTCAAGCACTTTTTTGTTACAGTGCTGCCGTCCCTATATGCCATTCCCTTAGGGGATGTTGTTTAGTTTTTTCCTTTGTAGTTATAAATGATAAATTAATTGAACCAAATCTACTTGGCACTCTAAATCTTTACCTAAGATCGCAAACTAGTAGTAGGATTAAGGCACTGGTGACTTGCTTTGAGATGATCTTGAGATGTTCCTTTGCTACATAATCAACTTTTCTGATTCTGTAAACTCATGTCCAGCTTTTTTGTACTACTACATCTCTCTAAATCTGCCAGTATGCAGGCGTGTTAAAAAGCTGATGTGAACTACTTTTGCCTACTTAATCATCATCACAGTAGTTCCAGGGTCATAGACTGGCTGTGTATTATGTGTTACTGTGTGAGTCAGTGAATTTTGGTGAGTTAGTGTTGGGAGATTTCTCCAAGATCCACATTTAAATTAATTGTCCCATTTGGCAGTTGTATTTGAGAAGAACTGATAGTTCCTGCATCCTTCACACTTGTCTAGCGTATAACTGATGATACATTACTGACTGATGTTCTTCAGACTTTGAGTTAAAGTAATACAACCCCTTTCTATATTTGGTCTTTTCCAGCCTAAACTAGTTGTTAGTTGAGTCAAATCAACCCTTTAGTTGAGTCAAACAACTTCTAAGTTAAACTGGAGCCTGGCCCCGCGTGAGCATCCTGCTCAAGTCTGTGGATAGCTATTCCACACTGAAGTTGTGGCCTCCTTCTTTGCTACCCCCTTGTAATTATAACCGGGGCTTTGTTTTGTTCTCATGCTCATTTTAAATTGTCAGTTTTGTCTTCGTTCATTGCCTCATTTCTACAGTCTTTTTGCTTTAACTGGGGTGAAGTCGGTATTTATGCAGAGAAGTGGGGCCAGGATGCCGTTCTGTGTATGGAACAGGGCGGGTGTTTCCTGGGTTAAAATTCCTTCATAATAATTGCGATGCTGTGTTTTTGAAGAGCAGAAAGTATTGGCCGAGCAGGTATGTTGATACTATAATGCCCTCTGCATTGCAGCTGTTGGGTAGCGACACCTCTGTATGCTGGAGAGGAAGAGTAGTAACACTGGTACGGTACTGTGAAGAAAACCCCTAGTATCGTATTCACTGTAATATATAATAATAAAATTAATAGATCTATGTAATCTATAATAATTACAAATTTTAGTATCATTAAGGGTCAGTGGGTACTCTGAACTGTTCTCCTCTTGGCATCTATCAAGGTAAAGCTCCTTTAAGCTAATCCTAAATTTAGGTATCTACAAGCAATTAACTTGCGTGAATCACTAACTAAAACGGGTAGCGATGTGACATCCTTCAGTCAAAAGCTGGGCTCCATCATGCCCCTCTGAGTGTTACCCACTCTATTTAAAAAGGGAACATTAGATTTATTTATTTTTTAAAATTTCTTCCTCCACCATCACCTCAGGTTGGAATTGTTTGTAATCTTCCATGAATTACCTGGGAAGAGAGGGCTTTGGTCTGGCTGTAGAGCAGGCACACGGGCATAGCTGATAGGGAGGCACAGCGTTTAGCAGGGAAGGTTGAGATGGTCAGTTTGTGATTCTGCAGTACTATCTTTGTCCTTTCAGAAAAGGTAACTGGTAGCTCTGCGGTGGCTTCTGTTGGAGAGGGAAAAGAGGATTTTTCTAAGGAAGCAGAGGAGTGTGAGGACTCCGTGAAAGGTTGAAGTTCTGAGCTAAGCAGCTTTTGCAGAGGATGACCCAAATAGAATACTATCTGTAGGCATTTAAAGGAGTTAGTGATGGCCAAAACCATTCCTTGGTACTGTTTGTCATATGGAGTGTGCTGGTCTGTGGGTTCTGTGGCTGGTTCTTTTTTCTAGCAGCACCTGTGCCACTGCCCAAAGCTCTTGGGAATGACTGATGGGTAGATCTGAGCTTGCTTTTGCAGGCTTTTCCTTCACAAATCCAGGTATGGTTTGGAATAACTGTCCTGCCTGTCTTCCCTTGTGACACTGCACAGGGTTTTTTCCCTGCTCTCATACGAGCACACCGAATGAGTCGCTGGGGAAGGCGTGCCGTTTTCTGCCTGCGTATGGATCCCTTACGTGAGGTAGTGGTGGTATCTGGTGAGGATACAGCCTTCATACCCGTTAACGGACTGGATGGTGCATAGGTATGGTGGTGGTAGGTGTGAGGAGGTACCAGGTGGAGACTCTCAGGTGTATGTCCCACAGGTTGATTTTGGGTGCAGAAACTCAGTTTGCTTTCTGAAAAGAGATCACCCCATGCACCTTGTGTTTGTAGACGGGAGTATTGCAGTGTGCCAGCAGAGTTTTGTGCTTGGGAAGTGTGCAGAAGCTCATGCAGAATCAGCCTGTTGCTAGCAGAAGCATCACCATTTTCAGTTGTGTTCTTTAAAACACAGTGAGGTGCAGGTTTCTCACTAATTAAGATCACTCCTCTTGACCTGTGTCCCGGGTCACTTGTTCAGCTCGGGAAGGATGCCCACTGTGCACATGTGCCTTCTTGTAGAGTGGTTTTCACACTGTTTTCTGCTTTACCAAAAGTAGGTATAATTCGGATCACGTCATACTGTTCTTAGGTTTTTTTTAAATGAGTGTGGCTTGATTCTAATCGCCTACTTCAGACTGAGTAATTTAAACTGGCAAGGTGGAAACACTGATTTCAGTTCTCAAGCATTCTGTGCTATTTGTACTTGCACAAAGGATTTTTTCCTTCACTGGATGGTATTATCCTTCAAGTTGGTTTGCAACCAAACATACACCCTGTGTAATTTGATGCTTATTCTTGTCAGCCAGAAGAAATCTTTAGCTTTATATATTTCATTTCATCCTGTATTTGAAGGGTGGTATTGCTGTATATGCCTTGCCTTAAGCTTGAATGAAAATGTTGATGAAATAGTATTTCAATTTCCAGTGAATACATTAAATGTGAAACGTAATCAAATTCAATAGTTTTTACATGTTCTTTAAAGTCATCGTAGGCTAGAGATTTAGGAAAAGAAAATGCGTTTGGAAATTCCACAGATGTGGAAACCAAGAGGGTACCTAACTCATTTCAGCATCCTTTAGGTTTCAGCTTCACAGACTCTAAGTGAATCTTGCAGACAATATACTTTTTTCCTAATATCAACAGTTGTGTCTGTCTCCAGACATTGAAAAACTTGGCTTAATTTTTTCCAAGCTTTTAAAATAAATTGATCTCCTACTTTCCAGCTTCAGAGTTGTTTAGAAACTTCAAAAGGAAAATAAACCGTCTTGCCTTTTTCAATCAGTTTTTCAATTCTGAATAGAATAATAAAGTTTAAGATGTTGGTCTCTCTGCAGATACTGCATAGGATGAAAGTAAAAGCTATTAAGGTAAAGCTTTTATACTCAATTCAATATATTTTTATGGAAAATTATACTCAGTGTGGCACTGCAGTTTAAAACTGTGAACTGCAGGTAAGAGATTTCCTCTCCCACTGTGTCTATGATTCAAAAAGCAATGTCTGTTTATTGGAGGGCTCATTGACTCAAAGTAAAGTTTGTAATTGCCTAAAATGAGCATAGGCTTTAATACAGGTTGGTTATTTTTCTCCTTTAATATAAGCTCTTTCAGAAAGAAACCTGTATGTAGCAACCCAGTGCTTTAATACTGTAAGCTCCACGTAACTATCACAGCACTTGTGGTCGGTTGGGGAGACTCGGCTGCCTTTTGCAAGTAAAGAAACAATAAAATTTGCCCAGGCTTTTTGGCATTCCTTGTTTCTTTTGCCTGTGACAGATGTTGGAATTTTGTAGGTGTGGTGGATTGGGGTGGTTTTTGTAGCACTGGCTGAAGCAAAAGTAGGTTGGGGAGATGACAGCAAGGTCTTTTTTCGTCCATGCTTTTCGATCTGAAAATGCAGCACAGTGTGAGTGGGGTGAGCTTGAGGACCAAACTAACCCTTGAAGTGGGTTTTTAGATACCTATCTTCACTGCTTCATAATTTTGCAAAATGTCTTCCCTCCCAAAACAAAGGGGCAGTTAAGACTGACTTGAGAGCTGCCCCATGAGACTGTTTGCTTAGAAAAAGAGTGTATGACTCTGAGGAGATGTGCAGGGAATTGAGCCCTTTGAGTCTTGAAGACTTCCTGGAGCTTGGCTTGTGATGGCACTTTTTGGCCTCTTGTTTGTCTGGAAGAAAGACAGGACTGCAACAGCTTCTTCCCATTCAGTTTTATCCACGGGACATGGATTTCTGGATTTGATCTGTACAATGAGATATCCAGTTGTTTTATTGAATGCAAATTCTTCTGGTTTGATAAAGATGTTGATCCACAGGTAAATGCCATAGATAAGACTTTTGAGCTGCTCTAAAAAGTTCCATCATCTGAAGCTGAGTGATTCGGGGTTTGTTCCCTACATTTTGCTTCTCATCTACATCGGGATTGACTGAGAGACTGAACATCATCCTGTGCTGCATGCTGTTTGATGCAAAGTAGAGGTTTTGTTCCGGTTGAAACTAAAGCAGTTTGTACAGGACTAGCAACAAAGCCATGGATTAACCGGTCTCACTGCATGTGCCTTGTGGTGACACGTGTGGGTGGCCAGTGTTGGAGAGGAGCTTGAGCCAACGGTACCTGTGTTGCATCAGCATTTTGCAGATCAGACTTTGCAGGCCTGCAAATGATCTAGCATGTCATGTTCTGCAGTTGTGGAGAGAAAGTGTTGCTGTGGGTGATGGGAAAGTGTTTATAATGTGTGATGTCTGGGTATGGGGAGAAGTGAAAGCTGTAGGTGTGTTTTCTTCCACTATTCTTACTCCATTTTACATTTGTTTTAATGTCTGCAATGGACTATTTTCCTGTCTTTATAGGAGGAAGAGGAGCAAGAGGAAGAAGATGATGACGAAGATGATGATGATACAGATGACCTTGATGAACTAGATACAGACCAGCTGCTGGAGGCTGAACTCGAGGAGGATGAGAACAATGAGAATGCTGGTGAGGATGGAGAAAATGACTTTTCACCCTCTGACGATGAGGAGCTTGCCAACCTCCTGGAAGAGGGAGATGAGGGTGAAGATGAAGATTCTGATGCTGATGAGGAAGTTGAGCTGATTCTTGGAGACAGTAAGTGTGTGCCCAGCTTGGTGACCACAGGTGGCCTTACCGTCTGTTTACTGTCCTGACACATATGCAACCTCTAAGTCTTCCCTGAAATACTTGGCTGATTTCCCCCTTGCTGGTACGAAAGGCACAAATCACCATGCTTGTTTACCTGTGGCCTCTCAAAGTAATCTGTCAGCAAAACCAGCTCTTACCTGAGAGAACAACTGAGTTCTGGAAAGGAAGATAGTTCCTTTCAAGTGCTCCCGGGTGCATGTGTGAGGACTTAAAGGCAGGGCAAGAAACTCTGTCCAAAGCAGCCTCGTGTGATTGCTTGCCTGCCCTGCCCTCCAAGGGGACACTGGTTGAACTCTTACCTCACCTGTCTCCTCTGCTGCCTTTGTACCCGTAAGGACAGAGGAGCATTTTTCCCTCCTTGGTGCTATTCTTTCTCTTTTGAAACTGCTTAGAGTGCAAAATCAACATGGCATTTCTGACTTCACTTTCTTTGTTAGACTGTTCCAAGGCTAACGTAACTTTTAGGATTAAATTTAAATTGTTCTTTTTCTGGCATTCCGCAGATAGAGACATGAGAAGTTAACAAGGGGAGGGGTTGTGTCTGAACCTTTTATGTAGCAATTAAGTTTGTAAAAAGGCTTCACAAGAAAGAGAAGGTGAGTAGGATAGCATCAGCCTTGGGATTTGTGACACCAGATTCTGTTCCCTTTTCTGCAGCACAACTTTTGAGTATGCGTATCCGAACCCCTTAGTTGTTTTTAATTTCCAAGCTGTAAAATGGGCATAACATAGTTCTCTGAAGTTACAAGGCTGGTAAGGATGAGGAATTACAATATGCGAGGTGTTTGAAGTCCTGCTATGATAGGTCATTGTGAGAGCTGAGGTGGGAATCAATCTTCTCTGCCACTGTGCTGCAGGATTCAGCAGCACAGGACTCTGTTTTGGCTCTAACGTGGCAGGCAGACTCATTCACGTCCCTCTCTTCTCTCAGTACTCAGTCATCGGTAAGGGTGCGGCCTTTAAGGTTGCCAGAGTAGTTTTGTGGGGTCAGTCTGCTGCTCTCTTGAAAGCAGTAGGGACACAATGCAGGGCCATCTAGGACATCACATAGCTCACCTTCATTAACAGCATGTTGCAGTTCAACACTTTGGGATTGTGGGTAACTTCTGCCCGTCCCAGGGGCTGACAGGAGCTTCTTGACACATCTCCACTTCTGTTCCCTCAGGGCTGCAGGGCTAGAAGCTGTTAAGAGCACTCAGAGCTGTACCTTGAGTTGTCCGCGGGGCAGAACGGAGGGGAAGTTGAGGCTGTTTCAGTAGCTCTTCCTGCAACAAAACTTGGTGGTGTGTGACACGTGGTGATTTCAGGCATGCTCTGAGCACTGCGTATTATGAAATGACCACTGTTGATGGGTACAACCGCTTGATCAGAACTTGGAGCTGGCATCGCTGTGGAGCTGTGGTCAGCCTGCCCCATGGCTGTTAGGTTGCTTGGCAGCACCTTCGGGAAGTAAAAGCAGGGAGTGCAGCTCTGCCAGGCTGATGTATGCGTAGTCCTTGCACGGGGTTTGATGACTTGGGTTCTGTGACTGCTTCTCTGTGAAGCACACACCTTCACCTGGCTTGTTTCTCACCCAGCAAGAGCAATTGAAATTGCCTTCTCCTCAGCTTATGCTGTGTTCCAGAATGAAAAGCAGTAAGGGCACTGGCAAGGCTGCAAAGTGCAGATCTGAGGCGTGGCGATGTATTTAAAGGGCTGTGTCTTGGGTGAACCTCCAGAACGTACAGTGGGTGTCCTTCAAAATAATTCAAAAAGCAGATGAAACAGGGGAGTGAGTGGCTTTGGTTCCTCGTGCTTTAGAAGAGGTTTTGGTTCTTTTTTGGGAATAATCCATGGAGAACCTTTTAGTACAAATTAGTCTTCCTCCTCCTTTGTCACCACCTTGGGATGGTAGACCTGTTTGTCTTGTCCAAAGCAGTTTATGCATTGTGCAGGTCTCTCGAGCTTATTCCTGGGCCAGCAGGATGTCCTTTTTGAAACGCACATGTGATGTAGGATGGCAGAAATAATGGAATTCTCTTCAGCAGCATGGCTGGGTCTTGTTTCCTCTTTTCTTCTGTAGCTGAAAACAGCAGCTTCTGGGCAGGTCTATAAGCTGCTGCCAAGCAGTTAACTGCAATCAGGTTTCCTTTTAGACATGGAGCTCAAAATTGGAAATTTGTGTGGTGGACCAGCAGATAAAGAGTTAAGAGAGCCCTCTGCAAAGCTTTCCTCTGGTGTTTTAAAAAAAAAAAAAAGGCAACACCTTTTCCAGCTTGTCTTCTCCAGATTTCTGGATTGTTCTTGCTTGTGCTTCTTTCCCTCTTAGAGTGTGAGCGTAGCTGCGGCAGCACTGGCTGGTGTTCTCGACCCCCCTTTCATGGCTGTAGCTGTTCCGGGAGCACGGTGAGCCCTCAGCTCAGGCTCAGTAGGATGGATGGCGAGGCTGGAGCATCCCTTGCTGACCACAGCTGGCCAATTGTCAGGGAGGAGGGTTGGGGGAAAGGGTTTGTGCTCTCTGCTGCTTGCCTGTGACTTTTTTTTCTCCCAAGGAAAGCATCTGCGAAGGGGTGAACCTTCCAGAAGGCCTTGTTTACCTTGACAGGCATTTTAGAGATCCAGTATAACTGAGATGTGAAATGGCTAAGAGGAATTCTTGGTGTCTTTTTTTTTTTTTAATACCTTTAACACCTAGTTAACTGCAGCATCCAATGAATTCACATAAGAAAAAGAACCATCACCACCTCTAAGGTAAGGCAGGAGTCCTCTTGCTGCCAGAGCTACTACCTCTTCCCTCTTGCACAACTGAGGGAGGAGAGATCTTATGTTTTAAGCTTAAAAGCAAGCGTGTGTGTACGTGACTGCTTCTGAGAAATCCTTTCCTGTCTTTGTTCTGTACCACGTCGCAGAAAACCAGAAAAAGCACAATTTTCAGGTCACCTTTAATGAGTGCCGTGTAGATAAGTTCATTACAGAGGAAGGCTCTGGCTGTGAGTGTACGGATTGGTTCCGTGCAGTGGGCAGGGCTCCCGCTGCGCTGCGCAGGAGGGAGTGCCAGGCAGGAAGAACCCAGTACTGGGCAGTGTGGGTCTCTCTTGCTGCAGAAGGAATTAGCCCTGTGCACATTATAGAGGGGCCGTGTTTCCCCACGCTGGGTTGGTGGGACTGTCGAGCTTGCTGTCAGCTAACAGCGCTGAGGAACGACTGCCAGCTCTGTCCAACCCCAGCCCTTAACACGCGGTGTGCCCAGTGGGTTGTGCAGCTCGCCTGCAGGTTAACTCCCTGCTGGTGCCCTTCTCCTCGCGGGGAAAAGCTGCCGGCTGATAGAAACGGCGCTTGCTAAACCTGCTCTAACCAGGGGAGGAAAGCTGCGGTGCAGGTTTGCTAACTGCTTGTGATGGATTTGAAACGCCCGCGGGGTGCTAGTTGCCCCTGTCGTTGCTGGGGAGCCGCTGTCTCAAGCAGGGGGTGGCCACCTCTTGGCCATCTCCGAGTGCGTTCCCTTGCTTAGCCCTGACACGTGCTCTTACACGACCCAGACGTAACCTATGTGTCTCCTTTCCAGCTGACAGCTCGGACAACTCTGACTTGGAGGACGACATAATCCTGTCTCTGAACGAGTGAGGAGTGACTGTCAGGCGGGGTGTTGGCAGGAGGAGACGCTCCCTTCCCAGCAGAAGGCCGGAGACCAAATTGGCAGCCGATTCGGAGCACCCCAACCCTTTTTCTCCTAGGAAAGCCCGAGGAACTCCAGCCCATCCGCTGTGTTGGTTTGAGTCAGCTTGAGGCTCGGGGCTAAGTCTGAGGGTCTACAATAAAGAGACCTGGGGTTAGGCCTCTTTTCTCTCTGCCTTTTTTTTTTTATTTTTTATTTTAGGCTGAGATGACTCTCCTCTTCAAGGAAACTTCTGAAGATATTTCACAATATATTTTCTTTGTATAAAGTTCTTTCCTAAAGAACAGAAATAGTTTTATATAAAACAAAAAAAAGCAAAAAAAAAAAAAAGCAGGTGTTCTAGTAAAGAGGGGATGAACTTTGTATTCCTGTAGTACCTTGTGACCATGGGGGTAGGCTCGGGGGAGAAAAATTGTTTAAAAGGAAAAGGAGAGGCATTTTTATGCGACTACTAAATGAAATAAGAGGATCGTGGTTTCTAAAATTGTTGAGTGAGACTATTTTTATTTTAAATATGATTTTATTTTTAAAAAAGAAGGCAAAGCACCAGGAGTTCAGCCCTGCTCCTGCCGGCATGCTCCTGATGCTGGTGTCCTCCGGGAAGAGAGCCCGGAGGTGTTGGGTAAGGGAACTTGAAGCAGAGGTTCTTGCTGTGATACCAGCTCTAGCGGGTGGCTGAAGTCCTGGCGTAGGCTGAGCCTGGTGTCCCTGAAGACATGGGGTTCTGGGATAGAAGTTGGACCCCTCTTTCCCCCCGCTGCCCTTTGTGGTTCAAGTTTTTTAATCTTCCCCTTCATCCCCCCC